AATTGGACGCAAAGGGACCTTTGAAAAACGTCAATATGTGACGACTCGGGAGTGAGAATGTGTTGGTGTTGTCAACACATCAGTTCAGGACCCCTTCACACTGGATGGAAACCACATCAAGCGCTTTACGACTCATTAGAAGAGACTGAATGGTGACAAATTTTGGGGAAAAAATCCTTCAGATTCACTCTCTGTCCTCACCAGTTAGGTTTTACTTTGCTGTTTTCTCTGTTCTCATGCCCGTACTATTGTCCTCATACACATGCCCTTGCATGACCCCTATGGACCACATCAGGATCATGCCATGCTAAGTCTACAACCACTGGAACCACATCTGTGCTCAGTTATTTCTTTGAACTAGTCCATGACCTAGTCCAGCTTCAAATTCTTGATGACCAAGCCATGTTGGTGCATGCAAGCCCCACATCACAGATACTCTGCCACCAGTCTTCCCCAATATGCTGCCACCACAATGATAAATCATAAATAACAACTCTAGTTTAATTTGTTTATTCTCTTAATGTTATTAGCACTAGAACATATTAATCTGTGTAAACAGTGACAGGAAGGTGACTACTAGAGTCTGTAAATTAAATTGACTTTGTTCTCGACAGCAGGTGAGTCCTGTCATGCCTCTGTTACATTTGTCTAATTAAATCTCCTGCCAGGTTCTCCACTGGTGATCTGTGTCGTATCCATAACATCTGCCTTTGACAGTTACGGTGACAAGTAAGTATGACCCACACACAGGGGCGTTGCATGACATGCACCTAATTCGATTAAAGCCATTGCACAAGAATGACATCACCTGTAGATAAAAAAATGGAAACAGCTGTGTTTAATGTTTAAAAGCTTTTAGTTCAAGCACCATGACATCCAGTGTCAACATCACAACATTACAACCTTTTTGTAAGGGAGGGAACACATTTTGGTTTTAGATTTTCCCAATTTTCCCTAATTTCTGTTTCAGCTGTTGGCTATCACTGAAGACAGGGGCCATTTGGGCCTTTGTGGCACCTGCTCTTTTTGTTATTGTGGTAAGGAACGCACCGTTTTGTTTTTCATACCTTCTGATCTGTAGCCCATTCGTCAATGCGCTTTATGAACTTTCTGATGACCAGGTGAACATTGGCATTCTGATATCAGTGACCAGAATCATATCTCGGATCAGCGGGGAGAACTACAAGGTTCATGGAGATGCCAATGCAGTCAAGTGAGTTTGTTGTTTGAGTCCCATTGAGTTCTTTTAATGATGCAACATGTTTATCTTGACAAAAGCTATAATTACCATCATGTTTATGTCTCTGTTTGAAGACTGACAGCCAAAGCAGTGGCTGTGCTTCTGCCCATACTTGGCATTTCTTGGATCTTTGGCGTCCTTGCCGTCAACACACACTCATTGGCGTTCTTGTATATCTTTGCTGTATTCAACTCATTACAAGTAAGTTCTTCTCTAATCAAGCTTTACTTTTACTTCAGGTTTACTGTCATTCTTGTTAAAAGTTGTTCTGTTTGTTTTTTAGGGGTTCTTTGTATTCTTGTTCCACTGTCTCCTCAACTCTGAGGTATGAGGCTAAACATTTGTGTGTTTTAATTCTATATTCTGGCAGCTCTTGTGTTTAAAATGCATGTTGCTTTATTGGTGCCACACACTCTAAAAATGAAATGTTTGATTTACTTAACCATGTTATGTGACCTGGTTCCACTTAACTGAGTTGAGTAAATTCAAAGCAACATACTCATGTTCTTTGGTTAAAAAACTGGTATATTGCTTTGAATTTACTCAACTCGGTTAAGTGGAACCAGGTAACATAACATGGTTAAGTAAGTCCAACATTTCATTTTTACAGTGTAGGCTTTGTTGAGACAAACTAAACTTCTGTTTGTTTGTTTGTTTGTTTTTTTCCTGCAGGTGAGGGCTGCATTTAAACACAAAACCAAAGTGTGGTCTCTTACCAGCAGTTCCATCCGAAACATCAACGTGAAACCATTTAACTCTGATATTGTGAGTGCTGATGATAAAATACTTGTTTCAAAGGATTTTTTTTAAATTACCCCACTATTTTTTTAATGTTTAAGTTTCTTTCATTTTCTGGTGCAGATGAATGGACACAGGGAGGGTKGCAGCCCCACTAAGATGCACACATGGGACAAGAGCACCAACTCAGCCAACCGTATCGACCTTTCTGCCGTGTAGAAAGCAAATTTACAGTTTGTCCGTGGAAGGAGAGCCGTCTGTGACTCACTCGGGTGGAATGGCAAACCTCGGCCGGAGATTTGTCTCTCCGTGGGGTAAAACAAACAGACACTCGTGCGCTCCAATGAACGTGTTACTAACGGAGGTGATATGTAGAATATAGTCATACCTAAAGACAAACAGACTCTTTCGACTGTGCCTTGTTTTTTCCTCACAAAAATCAAAGGAAAAGTTTTTTGTTTGTTTTTTGCGCCAAAGTGCATTATTCTTTGTTGAATTTGTTTGATGCACATAGGCCTATTTGCTGCCTTTTTCGGGACATAAACCAACCATAAACAGGATAAAGAAGTATCCGAAAAAAAATTAAACTTAATAATTAAAATGTTAAATAGACTGTGAGCTGTTTAAGAAAAAAGCAGTTAATGAAAAACATGTAAGTCTATAAATTTATTGCAAAAAACATGTAAACATCTTATTCTACTACAGTGGTTATCCCTTAAAAGCACTTGGGACTATAATGGTGTGTGTTGAACTTTAAATGTTTCACTACTCCCCACCGCATTCAACCTTTATCTCTATCAAAATAATAAAAGACTGAAGTGAATAGTTCCAAAATTTTATTTGGAAAAGAGAAAAAAATGAATTAAACAAAGTTTTAATTATTCAAATTGAATTGTTTGCTCTCTGGTGCCCCATCGGTTGGAAACCCCTAATCTAGAAGTGTACCAGAGGCATGTGAAACTAATAAATCTACAATGAAAAATCCTTTGTGTAACTCTGACAAGGCAAACACAAACATTTGGAGAAAATCTTCAAGTCAATGCCAGAGAAAAAAAAAGTCATCCTGACAATATTCTATGTCTGGAAATAGAATTTACCACAGATTTGATCAAATTCTGATATTGATTCAAAGGTCCACCTTCAGTTCAGGGATGCCTCCACAGAACTCTCCATGGCTTTAATCACTCTAATCACTGGCTTTAATCATCAGTGAAAGTATTTACCGTTTTATAGAATGGAACAAAAGCACCAGAGGACTTTATATGTCCAGAGGACCTATACAATTTTTTTCCTTTTGATTTTTTACCTGGATTACTGAGATGCATCAGGACAATTTGTTTGACATGTAAAATCTGAAATTGTTACCAATCTTTCATCAAACTTTTGACCATTGATGTTTTTGTCTCACAAGAATAAATAGTGTGACAACATCTGCTTGTAATTATGTACAGAAAATTAAAATACTTTTTAGGAACGTTAAGTATTTTCTGGTTGCAATTGCACAATGAATAAAAAAAGATCCTTTGTGAATAGTAAATACAGTGTTACTTTAGGCCTTAAACACTGCCATCAGCAGCTCTTACTTGTTTTTATCACAGAGGACAAAGTGCAGATTTCTTTATCTGGATGCTCATCAACAGTAAAAACCTGATTCACAGCTTTAATCTAATTGTTTAAGACAATAACTGCTTTACTACCACAGTTGTTATGACAATGAATTTAACTCTGTATATATTTATTTATTTTATGTTTCTGGTATTTTTATGTCTTCTTTAAACTGAAAGTTATTAGCATCGTTCAGGATGTCAATTCTGTTTGTTTGTTTATTTGTTTGTTTTTAGAAGTTATGGGCTGGCATAGTTCCAGTACCTCACACCTTAGTAAGCTGCCACATTTTAAACTATGCTTTTTTGAGAAATTGTTCATGTATTTGGTGAAGTTTAACTAGTTCTCACTTCAACGTGTTTCATCTAAAAGTAAGATTTCTTTTGGTACAACAAAATAAGAAACCTGTTCTATAGCACACGAACTTTGAGTTGTTGTAATTTTTCTTAATAGTTTGATTTTGTCAAAGATGCTCTTTATCTTACACTGTGCCAACAACATTTTGTATTTACTGTAAGTCCCTCTGCACTTCCTCTTTTTGTTAGATTTAAACGTTATTATGCAGAAACTTGTACATGTAGCATTTAATTATTGTTGTCTTGTGGTACTGTGATTTGTGCTTCTACAGTAAGTATTACCATTAAAAGCTTTTTATTACAAGAGATTGTTTTCTTTGTTACGTTTTGTGTGTCACGTGGTGGATTATAGTGAGTAGAAGCCAGTGATTGATGTAATTATGATTTTTATTCTAATAAGAATGACTGGTATCTAAAAGCTTTGGTCAGAGGAACAAATATGGCCACATTAATGAAATAAAACCAGTAAAAGAAAATATTTCTGATCAGTTAAGAAAAACACATTGAAAAAATACAAAAGAATACATTGAGGATGGGAGGCTGAGAAGTGTGATCTCACAATAGTTGGAACACACGTCCTGGGAAAGTTTACTCCAGTATGTTGGGTTGTGGAACCTCAGATTCAGGAGGAGTGGCTTTTGTCCTGGTCGTAGAACAGTGAACCAGATCTTCACCCTTGCAGAGCCACTAAGAAGATTACGGGAGTCTGACTCTCCAGTTTGTGTGATTTTTGGACTTGGAGAAGGCTTTTGACCACATTACCCCAGGAACTGTGTCGGTGCTGCAGGAGTATAGAGTACCAGGGTCCCACCCTGAATTACCAAAGCAGGAGCTGTGTGTGCATTCTTGTCGAACTTGCTCTCAGTGCAGGTTGGGCTATAGTCCAGGGCTGTTCCTGTGGTGTTTATAGACAGGATTTTAAAGCATAGTAGAAGGGAGGAGGGTGTCTGGTAAGGAAGGGTCTGGTCTCCACTTTATGCAGATGATGTGGTTCTGTTGGCATCTTCAGGTCATGGCTTTCAGCATGCACTGGAAGTGTGAAGCGGCTGGGATGAGAGTCTGCTCCTCATTCTGGTTCATCTTTGCCTCAATTGGAGGAGTACAAGTATGTTGTTCAAGAGTGATGGTAGGATGAAATGGCGGATTGGATTGTCCTCAGTAACGAGGGCATTACTTCAATCAGATGCAGTGAGGAAGAAGTTGAAGTTCTCAATTTATATTTCAACTCCCACCTTTGCTCATTCAGTTCAATTCAAATTCAATTCAAAAATACTTTATTGATCCCAAAGGGAAATTAGGTGTTGTTGTAACTCATTTAACTAAAGAATTATTGTAGATGCTGATGGCTGTGGGCAGGAAAGATCTTCTGTAGCGGTCTGTATTACAGCGAAGTTGAAGAAGCCTCTGACTGAAGACACTTTGTCTTTCTATGACAGTCTGATGAAGAGGATGGTCAGGGTTGTCCACAATGTTCTTGATTTTATGTAAAATCCTTCTTTGCACCATCATCTCCAGAGATTCCACAGTCGTCCCCAGAACAGAACCAGCCTTCTTTATCAGGTTGTTTAGCCTTTTTAGGTCCCTGGCTCTGAGGCTGCTGCCCCAACAGATGACGGCAGAAGAGATGACGCTCTCAACAACAGACTTGTAGAAGATCTGCAGCATCTTGCTGCAGACATTGAAGGATCTTAGCTTTCTTACCCATGAGGTCATGGATCACGACCAAAAGAACAAGAGCTCAGATACAGGCAGCCAAAATGTGTTTTCTTCATAGGGTGGCCAGGCTCAGCCTTACAGATAGGGTGAGAAACTCCAACTCTCTGTGGCAGTAAAGTTACTGCTCAATTTGCATCAAAAGGAGTCAGTTGAGGTTTAGGCATCTGATTAGGATACCTCCCTTAGAGGTTATTCGGGCATGTCCCACTTGGAAGAGTTCCTGAGGCAGACGCAGAACTTGGAGGAATTGTGTATCGTCTTTGACCTTGGAATGCCTTGGGGGTCCCCCAGGTGAGGCTGGAGAGTGTTGATGAGGAGAGGGATTTGCCCTTCTTATCTGGAAAGCCTTTGCAACATAACTACAGATAAGCAGTGAGATGGAGATGGTTAATAAGCAAACCCTTTCTTTTTAATTTAAACTTAAATGTTTACAGAAAAAAGTGCATTCACTTTGTGGTTGCGTAAGATGTTGGTCTGTTGTTCGTGTGTGATTTATTGAATCTATAATTAAATTATAATTATATTCAATTATTATTAAATGTATAACTAAACACAGTTGGTTTGATTTTTATAAAATATAAATTTAAGTAATTCGGAACGTAGTAACAGCTAAATGAGTCTGTCATTTACGAGCTGAACCTGAAAGCACCACCAACAAAAACATTGGGCTTTTGTGTTTGCGCATGCGCACTGTGAGATATGAATAACTCGTGCGGCTAGTTTAGAAAGGTGACAACAACAATGCGTGAGGTCAGTGTTTAAAAACAAACCACGACCAGCAGAACTTATGCGGCTCTTTACCATCAGCTGATGGTACACAGAAGCGGCTGGAACGAAGCGAACCGCAGATATTTTATTTGTTCAGACAGTTGTTTATGCTAGGTTASGTACCGTGTTATAACTTTGTTTTTGTGCTGCCGTAACGTTTGTGTCGTCGATATTATTAATTTAAGTCTCATGAAGGCTTGCTCGATGTAGAGGCAAAGATTTTCTCCTGTGAAATGGGACTTACCGGCGTGCTGTGTGTCTCGGTTGTCAAGTCTCGAAGCTGTTGTGATACTTTACTGTAATATTTTTATACTTTTGAAAAGTCATGATGGAATCTGTTGGGAAGTTTGAGTTCAACAAGAAGGACCTGATTGGCCACGGTGCTTTTGCTGTTGTGTTCAAAGGCAGACATAAAGAGGTAACTTCAACGTTTTGAGCACATTTGGATTTTGTCTGATCATTGTTTACGTGTGTTCTTTTTTCTTTCTTCCTTTTTTTTTTTTTGTAACATTGCAAGAAACGTGACTGGGAAGTTGCTATAAAGTGTATCAACAAAAAAAATCTTGCCAAGTCACAGTCGTTGCTTGGGAAAGAAATCAAAATATTGAAGGTAATGTGATGGCTTTTTTATGTTGCCATGTTTTCTGTATCATCCACTATTTCTTAACAAAAATGTCTGCCACTCTTCTTCCAGGAACTCAAACATGAAAACATTGTTAGATTACTTGACTACCAGGTAAGGATTTCTATTTTTTGCACATCTACAGATATTTCTGCACCCTGTGGAAAACACACCGACATGTTACGTTGGAGTATTTGCTGCCAGATGATGCAAGTGTTATGGAAACACTRAGTGCCAAATGCTCATGTGGCTGGCTCTCTGACCTGAGCTGGAATATTGGTCTGAAAAAAGCTGATTGATTTTTTTTTACTGTAATACACAGATCCTATTCTTTTATATCCTATAATGGGTTAACACTGCGGTCTGCGCATCTTTTCTACCTGGCAGGTCGCACATATCACAAGACATTAACCATCTGCTCGACAGGTGACCTGTGGACACCTGGCAGACAGTTGGCATGGCTGAGCTGATCTCTCATTATGTCTGACAGATGGGAGGGTTAAACAATGGCGTATAAAAAAAACAGTGTCGAGTATCACAGAAGCACACGAGCTGAACAACAAGGCTGCATATGTTCCGAGGGTGTCACGTTGTTATTTTCCATCCTCTTCATCAGCCACAAGGTGTTTTTAAGCTCTTGCACAAGTAGTAAACACATCCCAGAGTGTCATTTCTATACACAGTTTAAAYGCTTTACTTGGTTAGGCAACTTTCTTTCCGTCAGGTGGGACAGACACCCAAACCGTCTCACCCTTTTACCTCACTTAGCCACTCGGTGAATATTTTTAATGGCACTGACGAGKAGTGCTGAATTTGGAAAGGGTCCTAGTGGTTTCAAGGAGCCCAGAGCTYGACTGGATTAAGTTTCAGACCCCGCCACCCCCACGAGTTCACCGTGAGGCGAATGAGAGTTTCATAAAGCCTGTGGACAGTCGCATTAACATGTGGTGTTGTCACTTGTTGTGTAACTGACAGTGTAGCTGATGGATTATTTTGGATACACGAATAAAACATCATTGCTGAGACATGCACACATCTGATCACTCGTTTGTCAGAACTGTTGTCAAATAAATATTAGTCATTGTCAGAGTGTTGTCGCAGATGCCAGGTGAATGACTTGTGTTTGTTTCCCACAGGAAGTGGGTGGGTGCGTGTACCTCGTCATGGAGGTGAGTTGCGTCTGAGACGGTGTACACTTGGCTGCTTTCCGTGCCGATTGTGTTGCACACCATTAATTTAAAAAAAATTGTGTCAAGACTTTCATTGGAATTGTTCTTCCTGTCTTTTCAGTACTGCAACGGAGGCGATCTGTCAGAGTATCTCCACTGTAAGTCAGCCGTAAAAATGCACGGAATGTTTCCCTGTCACATTTTTTTTATTCAAAGTGAAACAACAACAACAAAGAATAAGCATCTCTGGTGTGTTAGTAGGTCAGTGTGCCTTGCATTTATTTTCCAAATGTGTTTTGAAGAATTATAGGCTTTTAGCTTGCCTCCACACAAGTCAGATTTTAAGTTTGGACAGGCCCGTGGATAAACAACGGTTAATTCTATCAAGTACTTAACCCAGATAAATAAACCTCTCAGCGCAGGTTTTCCTTTGTGGTTTTCCTGCTAAATGATCCAATTTTACACCAAAAAAATAACTTCTGGCTTTTATTTTGTAGGCAACATCCTGTGGCCTGACTCTTTCCTCTGCAGAAAAACATCTCCTTGCACAAGCTTTCAAATACTCTTTTTCCAAAACGATGTCCTCGTGGAGCTACCTCTTCTCAAGCTGCATTTGTCTTCTGTGTGTTGATTTATATACAGTGGGTAAAATAAGTATTGAACACGTCATCATTTTTCTCAGTAAATATATTACTAGAGGTGCTAATGACGAAATTTTCATCAGATGTCGGTAACAACCCAAGTGATCCATACATACAAAGAAATCAAACCATAAATGTCCAGAAATGAAGTTATTTGTAATAATGTGGAATGGCACAGGGAAAAGTATTGAACACACTTACTGAAATTTATCTAATACTTTGTACAAAAGCCTTTGTTGTCAATGACAGCTTCAAGACGCCTCCTGTATGGAGAAACTAGTGGCATGCATTGCTCAGGTGTAATTTTGGTCCATTCTTCCTCACAAACAGTCTTCAAATCTTGAAGGTTTCGTGGACCTCTTCTATGAACTTTGATCTTTAGTTCTTTCCATAGRTTTTCTGTTGGATTCAGGTCAGGTGATTGGCTGGACCATTCCAGCAGCTTTAGTTTCTTTCTCTGAAACCAACTGAGAGTTTCCTTGACTTTGTGTTTGGGCTCATTGTCTTGTTGAAATGTCCAGCCACATTTCATCTTCATCATCCTGGTAGATGGAAGCAGATTTTWATCAAGAATGTCTCTGTACATTTTTCCATTCATCCTTCCTTCAATTATTTGAAGTTTGCCAGTACCATATGCTGAAAAACAGCCCCACACCATGATGTTCCCACCTCCAAACTTCACTGTTGGTATGGTGTTTTTGGGCTGATGTGCAGTGCCATTTGACCTCCAAACATGATGTGTATTCTTGCATCCAAACAGTTCAATGTTGGTCTCATCTGACCAGACTATATTCTCCTAGTATTACACAGGCTTGTTTAAATGTTGTGCAGCAAACTTTAAAGGAGCTTCAACATGCTGTTTCTTCAGCAGTGGAGTTTTGCGTGGTGAGCGTGCATACAGGCCATGGTGGTTCAGTGCATTACTTATTGTTTTCTTTGAAACAATCGTACCTGCTAATTCCAGGTCTTTCTGAAGCTCTCCACAAGTGGTCCTTGGCTCTTGGACAACTCTTCTGATAATTCTTTTCACTCCTCTGTCAGAAATCTTGTGAGGAGCACCTGGTCGTGGTCGGTTTATGGTGAAATAATGTTCTTTCCACTTCTGAATTATGGCCCCAACAGTGCTCACTGGAACCTTCAGAAGTTTAGACATTCTTCTGTRACCGATGCCATCATTATGCTTTGCAACAATAAGGTTGTGAAGGTCTTGAGAGAGCTCTTTACTTTTACCCATCATCAGATGGTTCTTGTATGATACCTGGCCATCATTTGGGACTGGACCAGCTGATATTAATTTGCACTGACAAGGGCAGGCTTGCTTTCTAATTACTGAGAGAGTTCAGCTGGTGTCTTGGCTTTCCATGCCTTTTTACACCTCCCTTTCTTCATGTGTTCAATACTTTTTCCCTGTGCCATTCCACATTATTACAAATAACTTCATTTCTGGACATTTATGGTTTGATTTCTTTGTATGTATGGATCACTTGGGTTGTTACCGACATCTGGTGAAAATTTCATGTCATTAGCACCTCTAGTAATATATTTACTGAGAAAAATGGTGACGTGTTCAATACTTATTTTACCCGCTGTATTTAAGTAGTGATGCAGTGCCCTGGTTCTAATTCTTTCATAGTGACGCTCATTTCTAGGTTCCTACGAAGCAGACGCAGTTATTGGCAGCAGCATGCTTGGTCACATTTGGCCCGTTTGGTGGAGAACCCACCTGACCTCACCCATCTGTTGCTCGCTTATCCCTTGTGCTCTGATAGAATAACATTGAAAAGGATGAGGCTGATCTCAAATATCCGATGTCTTTGAAATGTCATCTCTGAACCAAGTATTTTTAATGTGCCCATCCAGAGTGCTGATTATCTCCTCTAACAGCCCCAAACTGTTCATTCCATCGCTTTCTCTGACAGCCAAGGGCACACTGAGCGAGGACACCATCCGAGTCTTCCTGCAGCAGATTGCCCAGGCCATGAAGGTCCTTCAAAGCAAAGACATCCTCCACAGAGACCTGAAACCCCAGAACATTTTACTCTGCCACCCAGAAGGGCGCAGGTCCAGTTCCATCAACACCAGCGTTAAGATAGGTAATGTCCACCTGTATCACCAGCCTGGGAATGGATGGTGTACAAGCTTTTTTTTTCTTTTTATTTTTTACCAAACTCAGTCTGTATTTCTCCTTTATTTCTTTAAATCTTCAGCTGATTTTGGGTTTGCACGGCACCTTCAGACGAACACCATGGCTGCCACCCTGTGTGGCTCTCCCATGTACATGGTAAGACTGGTTTCCTGCCAGCTGGTTCCGGTGTCGCAGTGTTTTTAAGCGGTGGGCTTTGTTTGTTTGAACACAGGCTCCCGAGGTCATCATGTCCCAGAACTACGATGCCAAGGCTGATCTGTGGAGCATAGGTACCATTGTGTACCAGTGTCTGACTGGAAAAGCCCCTTTTCATGTGAGTGACACCTCAAAACACCACACAAAGATACCGGAGAAAAACTAGACTTTTGATGATATAAATATAAATATTTGTCATTTTAATAGCWAATCACAGATATAAAATGTTTGATTTAGTTCCTGGAAAGGTTAAAGTAATGACTGCTGAACCTGCATCCAGTTTTATAACAGAGAGCAACATGAGCCACAACACAGCCACTAAAAGCCACCTGTCTGCTGGATCACGCTCTTCTTGAGTGTTGTTAGCTGGAAAATGCAGGAACAGCTTGACTGCTTGTTAGAAATGAACCTTGTTTACGGAGGAGGGCATGTGGAAATGGCTGCGAGCCATTTCTCAGAACCCAGAGTAAACAGTGTTTCACAACCCTCACTGTTACTTTTGAACTGTTGTTTGCAGATTGGCTCTGATTTGATGGAGAAACTCACACTAAAGTGTTATTAATTTCTTGTTGTTTTTTTTCCCTTTGGGGAGGCTTCTGTTGATCTGAAAAGTCCACTTTTATCCTGTCCTGTTTGAAGTGTGAAGAGGCAGTTGTTTAGTTTATAAACTGATGTTTTTATGATTATTTCTGAGAATAATTGAGAAGATTGTTATCTTTTCCTGCCTCAAAGATCATTGAGTTTCTGCTGCTGCTATTTGTTTAACATCTTTAGCTGTTGTAGTTTCTGGGATCATCAAACACCCACATGATGTCTGTTTAGTAATATGCTTTTTGATAATGTAGGTTTAGAAAAAGCGTTTGTTCAATAAGCCTGTTTGCAAGGATCTGCTGCATTCATTCTTGCAAGTTTTGATGTGCATCTAGTTAAGAATTGAGGTGAGACACCACATTAATAGACATGTATTTTTGTCCTCCTTTGTTTGTGACCCATCAAATCAAACCGAGGATTAAGTCAAATTTAGTGACGATGACCTCAGCACATTTTCAGATTCCTGCTTTTTTAAGATACATTCAGATCATCCTGATATCATGAGAGGTTCCAGAGATATGCCTTGATTTGTCTTCCTAATCAGGAGAACTCATTGATATTTGGTCTGAACACTGTTTGGTTATTCTGATGAAGAATGCTTGATGCCATTTTAATGTGGAAACCTCACAACAATTTGGACATTAGGATTTAACCGCTGGAAAGAAGAAAAGTTTGCTAGCTCGCAGGGAAAATGATGACAAGTAAAATTTAAAAATATATATATTCTGCTCAAAATTGTGTTTTTTTCTAGCTACTGCTCAAAAAGTGGCTAAAAAAATTCTTTTAAATTTCAGATATTTCATATAAACGATCTGTAGATAAGCTATTTATTCATTATATGTTGACAAAATGCAATTTGAAGTGCACAATAAAGCCATGTGGGGTTCGTTCTTTTTTTTCAAAATTAAATGAGTTTTTTTTAACTAAATGTAAAAAAAGGACCAAAATAGGCTAAATTTTTTTATGTTTTTGTTTTTTTTCTTTTTAATGTCCAAAGCAAAGACAAGCTGTATGTTTTATTAGTGCATTTGTTACTTTCTGGCAGAACTGGAAATCATGGCCTGAACTCCTGGGGCGTTAAGTTTTCACTGACTTTAGAGAAGGATAAAAGTCTTATTTAGAAGGAGTTTATCTTGCTGTGAACAAAATTGCTTTAATATTCCAAGTTATGCAGAATAAAGTTCGAGTGCAGCCTTTGCCAGTATACTGTATTTAGGAATGATTTTTGTTTTTAAGCAGTCTTCTTCCAGCCACTTTAAACTCTATAACCATTTACGGCRTCGCTACATATTTAAACAACTGGATATTTTATTTTTTGATTTCAGTTAAGCAATGCAAAAAATCAAACATTGGATTTTTTTAGCAGTTCGATTTTACTTTTTACCAATATGTTTTGCAATTGTAATTTGAAACAAAGAAACCAAAGCATACATGAATTAGAGCTGCCTATTTCCCCCACATACCACTTTGTGACTTAATCCTGTTTGGTGTTGGGTCGCATATATATTTAATATTCTGATGCAAAAAAGCAACACTTTGGGTAATAAAACAAGATACTTTAAAGTGCTGAATGATAAAAACCATGGCACAGACTGTATTTCATGTTGTGTGGCGTTTCTTTGTGTAGGCCAGCTCACCACAGGAGCTCCGTCTCTACTATGAAAGCAGCACAACCGTGTTACCCAGGTTAGTACACCTTTGTATGACCTCCATCTGCTCTGTACCATAAACACGCAGTGTATGTCCAGCGTGATCGGAAGGACTGTAAACAGGCATTACTTGGAAATCTGTCTGTACCAATAACTGATTACCATGTGTGCCCAAGGGACTGGAGTTCGAACCCATGAGAGCCTGCAGACGTGATAAAATTAGACACCCGTAAATAGATCTCACACCAACACTAAAATTAGTCCTGATGGAGAAGAAACTGAGACAGACACCTGATGGGATCCATCAGATCTAAATCAGTCTCTGTCTCTCGCACAATTGATATTTGARCTTTCACAAACTGAGAACGCTGGATCTATTGTCCTGTCAGTGCAGAAATGATAAATATGGTGACACGCTATCAGAAGAAGCAGATACAGAAAAAAAAACAGTCCGTAATCTTCAGAGACAGAGTGTGGAGAGCTTGGAAAGCAATAAAAGGGCTTTATGTTTTGTTTGCCTGCTTTGTTCCAACTGTACTTTGCCAGCCTTTTTATGGCTTCCAGCCATGCTTATCTTATGGTGTGATACAGCTGGATGATAAGATAGGCTGTGGTTCTTTGAGGAGACATATATTGTTTTGGGTTGTGTGTGTGGTCTGGTGACATTTGAGGGCAATTTTAAGACAAAATGCCTACGTTTGGGGACAACCGGTGCATTTGGGACAAAAGTCGAGTCCCCATTTGGTTTAAATGCCATTGGTGGGTTGGGG